CAACCCGTTTTCCATCAACTGTTGTCGAAACAGGGAGTGTGACATTAGGTTCGGTTTATAGCCGAGTTCGCTAAACGACACCTGCAAATGTGTGATTTGAAAAAATAGGGGGAGGGGGAGAGAGCCCCACAGAAGTTTTCCAGGGGCTTGTATTGGGTTGGATTGAAGTGCACAGGCTATATAAACTAAAAAGGGGCATTACCATGGGCCTAATTGCGAGACGAGTGCGTAAGCCCAGATGGAAGAATTGCAGATACTTTCTCGCTCCAGAGCTACTACGTCGTAGGGGGCTGAGTTCGGCACGGCGCCAGCCTGTTCTCCACTATTTGTTGTCACTTGAACGCTTCAACAATTAGTGGAGAACGTGCTGGCACACTAGCAAAGCTTGCCCCCTGACAGGCCACCGCGGCTACAGCGAACAAGACCATACTCAGTCTCCGACTTCTGTTTCCAGATCGTCCTGGGATCGCTTGAGAGACAAGTTCTATTTTAGGGAAATCAATGTATTGGGACTCATTTGACCATATCTTCGAAGGAAATTTCCGCACGTTTGGATCCGCTGCAGTTGCATTTTACTCTGGATTGTTCGCATATCAAGGATGGGCATATTTGAATACTGTCACAGAGGAGCTCATCAATCCAAGACGGTTGTTATTCCCATTATTATTATTATCATCATTATTCCCGATTATTCTTGTTAAGAAACCGAATGGGGCCCTTCTGGAATTCAACTAGAGATTGAAGGCGCAGTCCACGTTCATATAATGGGCGGAGACGAGGGCTGATATACCTTAGACCTTTACCTTCCTCGCTGGCTTGCCCCTCGTTTGTCCCATCTTGAAGAATGTGATTTCAGAGGCACACTTCGCACAAGATCGTCATCGGGCGACTGTTGTAGCTTCGTTGAGACAACTGTTTTTTTAGCGTTCAAACAGAAGCATAACACTGAGAAAGGTGCACTGTACGCTAGACCCGGCTGCACTGTAACGCCTACACCGGCATATGAGCCTGACGCGTAGACGGTCCTTGGAAAGCATCTACCACGATACAATAGGAGGGTTCAAGCGGTCCTGGATATTCCTCATGAATCAGTGAGTTAGAGAAAGCAAAGGAAGCCGTCGGAACGCTTCAGCGAAACACTGAGTGCTTGGAAGAGACGAGGCGACAAAGGCGAGAAACTACACAGACGAGGAAGACCGCTGATCTCAGTGCAGCACTTGCAGTGGACATGTATCGCCTATTGCGTGAAAACTCTAGCGCCAAATCTCTAGCATCCTTTGGTACTCGCTGTCAAGTAGTTACTTCTCAGCTAAACGTGGACCATGCCTATAGATCTTACATTGTTCCAGTTAGCATAAAGGTACAGTCGTTCTCGTTGCAGATGCTGGGCTTGAAAAGGGCTATGTTTCGAGCAGCCCCTGCCCATTCTCCACCAATTTTCGAAGTGCAGCACAGCAATTGGTAGAGGATTGGTTAGGCGCGCACAAACTCAGCCCCTGACTCCACGTCTGCAACGAAAACGTCTGAACAAATCTATACAGTATTAACATGGTTGACATACCCTGAATGCCTGTTTAGAAATTTACCTCTGGCATTTTTGATTTCAATGATAATAGTCACTGTGGTCTATGTTCTCTACAATATTGCTTTGTATGTTGTCCTTTCTCCTGATGAAATTATTTTGCATCCAGCTGCTTCTGTGGTATGTTTTCCAATTGATTCCCACAGCTTTTGCCGTCATGATCGGCAATCGGTAGGGCGTATGTGGACGTGGCTTGGAGCACTTTCCCACCCATTGTAGTAGAGTCAGGATGACATCACTCGTGGAATTATCCACGTCCGTATCACATGCCCTATCGTTTGCAGGGATCATGACTGTATGCTATTCGTCATTCGTCAAGGCCAAGAGAAAAGAGGCTGGAGCGTAGCGAGTGCATCAGGGATGCCGAGTTCCCACAGCGAACAACATGAACGGTAGGTTGTCCGTCTCGGTCAAGAGTAGAGAACAACCAAACGGGAGGGCACAGGCAAGCAGCGTGCAGCTGTATCAGGCTTCACGGCGTGCGACGTTGCGTTCGCGTGCTCACCTGTGAAAGAGTAGGAACGACATCTGGCTATCACTACTCTCCAGCTCATTTTCAAGGGATAGTGACAACGCAATCGTAAGATATGTCGCGCTAGGCGTCGCGAGCGACGCCGTGTACACGGGATACTTACTTTCTCTCCACAGAGGCGATTTAAATCTGAAACGTATGAAGAAAGAAAGCTGGTCTGTATCCGCTTAGACCCCCCCCCGCCTTCACACTTGATTTCACATGTTTTCTTGCTCCAATTGACAAACTGGTTTCCACTTCTTTCACATTTAGACGTTTGCAAACAAAGTATATGGCAAATTTGCATTTATAATGTCACTTTTTGTTGCTATTTCTACGTTCGGGTCCTCAAATGGCACTCTCATGATGAGCTCGAGGTATGGTAGAACTCCAGCATGATGCGTGAGGCTTTCGAGCCCAATTACAGATTGTTTTTCTGTGCAGCTCGCGAAGGACACAATGCCAGTGATCTTGGCATACTAACAAGTGGTACTTATGGTGAGCTGTATTTCGTTTATTTGGAGGTCTGCAGAATTAGGACAATGGTGGTCCAGCCGTAGAGAGCCAGCCTCATTTACAGTTTTACTGTAACTACACGTAAATGCCCCAAACACCATGGTAGTAGTTTATCTCCCTGACTAATGCGGCCGATATGCTTCAGCTTTCTCGCAGCGTCTCCCGCGCCTTTAGGGAAGAAAGGGACGGAAGGAGGAACAAGAAAGGAAGGGAGGGAAGGAGGGAAATTCTTTGCCCTGTTTTAAGGCAGCGACCGTCAGCGAGAATTCATAGAAACCCAGGAAACCACATGGTACAGTCCTGTCGGAGGGCCCAGATGGGATGCTCCCAAGTGTGCCTGATGACCGCAGCATATTCCTCTACTTTCCTACACACGAATTCCATATCCCTCGAGACAGAGTGGGCGTGGCTACGTACTTCATGTGAACGTGACATTGGATGAGTATTTCGTGGTATCATTCTATTCAAGACAACTGTCATCCTGCCTTCATGTTGAACCAGGACATGTTACAATCGTCTCTGAACAGCAATGCCCACCGAAAGCGCAGCAGCCGTCACATTCAACTCAATTTCAAGACAAGCCCCTCCCACATC